GGGCAGCTGCCTCTCCCTGGTCCTTTTGTCCGTTTGTGCTGCATGTCGCAGAGGGACGACCAATTTAGGCCATTAACAGGGTGTGTGTGCATGTGTGTTTGTGTGATTAGACTCAAGTAGATCTGTGTGCCTGCACTGAGGAGGGGGGGGGGGGGTCTCCCTCCTTTGACCACTCAGTTATAGACAGACAAGACTTTGTGGATTTGCTGTAAGCACCGGGATATTTGCTTGACTAGCCTGACATCAAAGGCTGTTTTATCCGCCGGCTTTGCTTGACGGCAAATCCTCATCAAGTACCACCCTCCCAGACCTACAGCCTGTGTTTTAGCAACGGGAGTTTTCCAATGCAGCCATATTAGGGTTTGGCAGAAAATGAAGCATTTTCAACGTGCTGGAATAAAAATGTGTGTGTGTGTAAGTCAGCTTTCTAAAACACTAAACACGGTGTGAGACACTAGAGTATTTGTGTTACTACCACTTAAACAACATTATAGGATTTGCTTTTGATTTTATTTCACAGACAGAGGCAGCCATAACTAAGAAACTGTCCTATTTTCATAATAATGTAAGAATTCAAATTTAGACTGAATATTCCACTTTAGGGGAGAAATGACTGAAGCATCACTCTTAGCAGCGTCTGATCTTACGTATGAGTATGAGCTCGTGAAGTATCTTATTTGGAGATGCAGTGACTAATCTGATCTTATCTGGAGGAACCTTCTTTTCTGTTCAGAAAACATCCAGTTAGTTTCTGTTCTGGCAACAGAATCACCTTGATTTGAAAAGGTTTCATCAGTGGTAAAGTAAGGATAAACATTTGCCATCTATGTGTGTTCAGAAAAAAATATCCTTCTTCTGATGAGTATGACCTGCCTGATTGTAAAAAAAAAAATTCTGTCCACCCTTCCATATTTGGCCCCTTATCCGTGGGGGCAGTAACCTAAGCAGGGAGGCCTAGACTTCCCTCCGCCCAGCCACTTGGGCCAGCTCCTCCGGGGGAATCGAAGGCGTTCCCTGGCCAGCCGTGAAACATCGTCCCTCCATCGTGTCCTGGGGTTTTCTTTAGGTCTTCTTCCAGTTAGACATGTCCAGAAAACCTCACCAGGGAGGCGTCCAGGAGGCATCCTGACCAGATGCCCGAGCCACCTCAACTGGCTCCTCTTGATGTGGAGGAGCAGCAGGTCTACTCCGAGCCCCATCTTGATGACTAAGCTTTTCACCTTAAGGAAGAGCCCAACCACCCTGCAGTGAAAACTCCTTTCGGCTGCTTGTATCCATGATCTCGTTCTTTCCGTCACCACCAAAAGCTCATGACTGTAGGTGAGGGCAGGAACGTAGATTGATCGGTAAATCAAGAACTTTGTCCTCTGGCTCAGCTCTCTTTTCACCACGACAGATTGCCCACATCACCGCAGACGTGTCTTATTTAACTCACCATTGTCTGAATTTAATGAGGAGTATTTGTGCATAGTGGCTCTCTGTGGTCAGCATCTTATATGCAGCAGACGGAGGTTCTTCAGAGGCTAGCTGCATGTCCACTGCAGGTAAAATACTTACTACCTATGAGTACTCCAATCACTCTCTCTCTCTCACACACACACACACACACACACACACACACACACACACACACACACACACACACACACACACACACACACACACACACACACACACACACTAAAGTAGGGCCAATTTAAATAAATCAATTAACCTAAAATGCTCCTTTTTTGTCATGTATAAGGAAACTGGAGAAGAAGAAAACCCACATGTGTACAGGAAAATGTGCAATATTCATGCAGAAAAGCCACATGTGTACGGGAAAAATGTGCGATATTCATGCAGAAAAGCCACATGTGTACAGGAAAAATGTGCAATATTCATGCAGAAAAGCCACATGTGTACAGGAAAATGTGCAATATTCATGCAGAAAACCCACATGTGTACAGGAAAAATGTGCAATATTCATGCAGAAAAGCCACATGTGTACAGGAAAAATGTGCAATATTCATGCAGAAAAGCCACATGTGTACAGGAAAAATGTGCAACATTCATGCAGAAAAGCCACATGTGTACAGGAAAAATGTGCAATATTCATGCAGCAAAGCCACATGTGTACAGGAAAAATGTGCAATATTCATGCAGCAAAGCCACATGTGTACAGGAAAATGTGCAATATTCATGCAGAAAAGCCACATGTGTACAGGAAAAATGTGCAATATTCATGCAGCAAAGCCACATGTGTACAGGAAAAATGTGTAATATTCATGCAGAATGTGGGTTAAACTCAGGATCTCGTCGCTACAAGAAAGCAGCACAAACCAACCCCACCCAAAAATAATCAGATGATCTCTGATTTCAATTTGTAAGGTTTTTCTTTTCTTTTACCTTCCTTGAGAGGAACATCGGCTGGGACACTACCAACCACTGGACATTCTCCCTCTCCTGACAGTGACCCATGATGTGCTCCAATTGAAACCTCCTGTCCACAGCTCTTTAGCGCGCTGTCAGTAGCAAGATGTGCTGAGAAGCGTGTCCAAGTGTGAGACAATGCTAAGATGCTCTGATTAGAATGTTTTCTTGATAGACTTTTTTTTTTACTTCCGCGGTGTACTTTGTGTACAAAACATTTTAACAGTCTGCAAATTTACATGAGTCGAGGGTGTTACTGACAGCCTTCAAATTTTCCTGCCACTGTTAAAAAGAAAAATGGTTAAATATGGAAACTATGTAATTAATGTGACCCCTGGTGTGTGTCTGCTCTGTCTTCTCAAACCCCAGTGGGCAGACGGCTGTTCATACTGAACCGGGTTCTGCTGGAGGTTTCTTCCTGTTAGAAAGGAGATTTCCTCTCCACTGTAGCTACATGCTTGCTCAGTATGGGGATTGCTGTAAAGTTACTGACACAAACCAATGACTCAATGCAGTCTGCTGGGTTTCCTTGCAAAGACATTTTTCAACTAATTGACATAACGGCCAACTCAATACACTGATAAGTAGGTTCGATTGTAATATTTGATATAGGCCACCAGCTCAGTGGGGTAGTGGTATGAGTGTCCTCCCTGAAACTGGGAGATCGTGGGTTCAAGACCACTATCTCATACCAAAGACCAAAAATGGCACTCAGTGCCTCCCTGCTTGACACAGCATTAACAGGGTGGGTCAAATGTGGAGAACAAATTTCATCAGTGTGTGATAACTACTGGGACCTTATTCTTTAAAGTGCCTTGAGGTGACTCTTGTGAACTAGTTTCATATAAAAAAAAATTGAATACTGAACCCCTCTCACACCTCGATGATTAGGAACAAGGCATCCCTACGAAACCAGCTCTGTTTCCTGGTACATGCCCAACAGAGCCAGCTCAGAGCTGGGTTAGTGGATGTGTTTACACACATGAAGCAACAGCGTAAATACAGCAATGGGCCAAGCCTGTGAAACAAGCTTCATTTGCCCTTTACACAATAAAACCTTTACTTTCCTTGTCCATCAAACATCATAAACATAAAATACTGGCTGATTTCAGAAAAAGTTTACAAATCTGAAGTATAAAAAAATACTTTCAAATTTTTTTTTTCCTTCTAAACTTTATCCTAGCATTCATGAGTCAGACCAGGGGGAGTTTGCAGCAGCTGGCATTTTCCATTTTTCATCATCCAGATTAAATCTTTATTTCAGATATAGTGGATTCCCAGTCTGATCGTATAAATAGCACTAATGCTGAAGTTTTCAAACAGCTAAGCCCAACAGTTTCCGGCAAAAGCGACAGCAGCTGTTGAGAGCAGGCATCCTGGGAATGTGACAACAGGAGAAACACAAGTGGCAGCCGGGCTATCTGCAGACTCCGGTACAGCCGATCTGCTCAGCACACACAGAGCCTCTCCACGCAAACATGGAGGTCCTTTCAGAACCACATTGGTTTATAAATATCTGCTTGCAATGATTAAAACCTAAATGTGACTCGATTTCTCATTCGTTTCTTTGAAACTTCCTTCAGATCCTTTCAGATACAAAACTATCAAAATCACGATTAAACAAAATGAAAAAAAAAACTCTGCTTTTATTGGTTTGGGTTGAACTGATTTCAATAAAATGAGCCGAAAACTCTGTTTTTAAACCATAGAAGAACTCCTTTATTGTACAGTGCATAGTTAATATAAGTGAGAGTGCATTCCTCAGGCTATCTTAGACTCTTATTAGGTGTCTGAGCTTTCCTCACAAAAGCACATCCAAACGATCACATACCCTGTTTTTGTGAAGTCGAAAGCAGTCCATTTTCTCAGATCCTGCTCCAAATCCTGAATATTGCAGCCATGAAATGAAAACTCCAGCGGCACTCAGACTCTGCAGAGCTGGCGGAGCCAGCGTACAGTATCCCACCACATCCTGTGTTTCCACAGACACACACGCATACACACTCTCTCTGCTCCCTTGACGGAGGGGAAAATCAGTCAAAATCAGACTTTGAAGGAGACGGTTATGCCAGTTAAACTTTACTGGATTAGGAGGGAAAATTGCATCTCCCTTTTAATGCGTCTGGAAACTTTGCTGTCACATGAGAAAGAGGAAAACCGTGTGTGTGTGTGTGCTGGTGTAAGCACGTGTCTGTAAGTGGGTGTTCCACCGTGGGACGGGATGGGGTGGTGGTGGAGGGGCAGCTGTTGCTGGCTGAAAACACTTGTGAGGCTGCAGCCTTAGCAGCACAGAAGTTTAAAAAAGTGTTGAATCTCAGCGTAACAAAGTCACACTCACAAGCACACCCTTTGCACATGTGTAGTCCACTCTGTCACAGAAAAGAGAAGGGTAATGCTGACTGTTCTGTATCAGAGACTTAGATGGTAGGGACAAAGGGAGGAAGAGAAACCCTCCCTCAGACCCAATAACCCAGAGAGGCTGCTAAACTACAAACATCAAAAGCCTCCAGACAGGCACGTGGAAGGGGAGCAACAGTGTGTGTGTGTGTGTGTGTGTGTGTGTGTGTGCGTCTGTGTGGACGCTGTACCTCCACTATCTCCGTGCAGGCATGGAACACCAGGTGCTGCTTCTGGGGATCTATCACAGCCACCTGGACCAACGCATTGGGCTTCCCGTCTCTGCCTGGGGCCACCAGATCATTACAGGCTTCACCAGAGGAAGGGAGGGAGGATGGGAGAGCCGAGAGGACAAGATCAAGAAAAGAAAACAGGAGAAAAGGGAAAGATCATCTTTCATGATGCATACGTGAGTGAGGAAATGTTAACGATCTGTCATGAGTAGAAAACATAGGAGAATCATGGAAGGAAAAGAAACAGCATCACTTTTGCACATAAATCTCCTGACAGAGTAAACGTCACGCGTCAAACCAACAAGGATCTGCCCCGGCACAAAGTTAAACCGACTTCAGCCCCAAAACACATGAAAGGTTTGGATAAATAAATAATGTGCACGCTGATATGAAACTGCTGCCTCAGCAGATGATTAAAAGGCAAAGAGAAGTCCTCCTGGCAGTGAGATATCAGTTTTATTACAGCTTTCATTTCTGACATCAAAAGCAGCTCGTCACTCACATTCCAAGGACAGCTAGGACCCATCCTTTTTGGTAAAGTCAGATTTAAGTGACTAAGCTAATGTGAGACCAAACAGTGCAAAAAAGCTCATTTGAATGGTTAAAACTCCTGTTGAACATTAGATAAAATAAATCTGCTGCACCATAAGGCTGTTTATTTTGTGAATTCATTGGCATTCATAAACTCTTAAGTATTGAAGAGACTTTTTTGTTGTTGTTAAAAAGCAGCTTGGATCTTATCCAGAAGCTACATTTCATCTCTTCACCACAATGCTGGATCAGGACCAGCTATCGATCTGTTCCCAGAGCCCTGTCAGTTTCACACATTACTCTGCAAAACAAACAGCTTTAAAGGTGCTTGCACTACACTCGCAAGTGTTTTGAGTGAGATATGAAACAAATGATTGTTTTTTTTTTTTTACCAAACATGAAACAGTTTAGACTGACTATTTCACGTTGTGCCTTTAATTTCACATGAAGTTTGCTGGTAGCTCAAATTAGAACCAAAAGTTGTTTTTTTTCATAGCTTCTGCAGCAAAACAAGGTGAAAAAAAGAGATCCACGTTAAAGCTACTGAAACTATTCCTCTTATTGGTTGTTTTAAAGTGCTCATTCACTCGTTTTTTTTTTATTTCAACACATTTGCAGTGGTCTCTAGTATAAATTAATGCCTTTTGAGTTGATCTCTGTGGGGGAAAAAAGCTCTGGCGCTCCTGTTTCAGGAAGTAGAAGTTAACTGGGGGACTGGGAACTGAACTACTCGGGTGTTTCTCAATGCCAAGGAACCTTGCCTTGATGTCTTGGCCCCGCCCCGGTTGCCTAGGAGATACGTCATCGGGAGCCGCCAAGACGTGTTCCAATGTTCATGTTCTACCGAGGCGTGTGTTCTCCGTTTGTTTGCCGTTTGGCTAGCTGAGCGAGGATACCCGGGAGGTGTCTTGTAGCCTAGCCTTGGTCAAAAATTACCCAGAACACACTGCAGCGGTATTTTCAAAAGGACGGCGGATCAGAAGCCGGCAGCTACTTCAGGGGCAAACTTCAAGTTAAAAGTAAGTCAACTAATTAAAAATGTTTGGTTTTTTTTTAGATCCAAAGAAATTATCTATGGTTGGTTAATTGCTTAGTAGTTGCAGCTTCGGTGGCTAGCGGGTAGTAACTCAATATATTTAATTTAACTACTATATACACAATTTAAAAAGTAAAGACTCGTTATATATTTATATTGACACCAATACATATAAATTATGACGTTATCTCCCGTGTCATGTGACGTTACGTGACCGCCGTGGAAGCCGTGGTCAGGTGATGCAAATCTGTTCCATTTAACCGTTTTCTTTAACCAAGGAAGGACAGTGTCCTCGTAAGCAAGGCGCCTGGCCTCACAAGACATCGCCTCGCAAGGCCAGGCACCTTGACATTGAGAAACACTACTCATCTTTCCCTATGTTTACTTTTTAACTGCACATCACCGTTCAGAAGTAGGCGAGGATAGCGGAGGAGTTAAGTGCCCACCTCATAAATGAAGGGTTGCAGGTTCATGTCCTGCTCAGTCTGTCACATTTGTCGTGCTTTTAGCACCCCCTAGTGTTCATTTGGCAGGACCTAAAGCAACACCTAGCTCCTCGCTGTGCGTTCATCTTTTTAACACCTTAATCATATAGCTCAAATGTCTCCTCAGCCTTCATTAATGTCTACAGGAGTGGTTCATCAATAAAACAAATCAGTTGTGTTCATGATCTAAAACATGGAGGAAACGTGCTGGAAGCAGACTGCTGTGCCAGCACATATCAGCTCCACTTTATTAAGACTAACAGGGACTGGTTCGGATACTCTGAAGTTGCAAGTGCGGTTTTCTGGCTATAGGGTGCAGTGAGGTCAGAGTGACATTTCATTAATTCTGTAAAGGGTCATTTTAGCACATACTGGCTCAAGAAAATGATTTCTAAATAGGAAAACATTGTAGAGCGTGGCTTTAACTGGCAGAATGATAAAAAAGGGGGTTATCAAAATGTAGTTTAAACTCAAAACAGACCTATGTTTCTAAACAACCCCATAAAACCTAAAGGCTTTTACAAACACTTGACAGACAACTTAAGACTTAATAAAGCCTGTATTTTACAGCCTTCTAAGCCTGCAGCAGAAAGAATTTTACTGCCCGCTCTACTACAAGTACAGTTTCATCTTTGTTTCTATTGTCATGAGTCTGAACAAGGCAAGAATGTTGGATTTTGGTGTTAATATGAAACTTTGAGAATCATTAATTTTACTTTCTTATTAATCATTAAATAATCTCAATGTTAAACATGAACAAATGACTCATTTTAAAATGACTCACTTTACTCTGTTCTTTGAAATAAAATAAATAATAATACAATTATTATTAATACTACTACTACTACTACTACTACTACTACTACTACTACTACTACTACTACTACTACTACTACTACTACTACTACCACTTCTACTACTACTACTACTGCTACTACTACCACTACCACTATGACTACTACTAATAATAACAATAACAATAATAACAATATCAATAATAATAATAATCACGTCTAAGTAACCTAACGTTAAATTAAAAGACAAATGAAATTCTCAATACACCGAGGCAGTTTGGCACAGTTTCAAGCTCGGTTCACACAGCAAGATTTCTTTTAAACATGAGACCACACATGTTGTGAGGGAAAAATAAGTCACAACTATAAGGTTAAAGCTGCAGCAAATTTACAGAACAAGCTAGGATTTGAACGTAAACACAGTAACCCCTCCACACGGGGATCTTCCCTGCATCTGCATCCACCAAAACCAGAAACCTACATTACCAGAGTACCACGCTAAACACCAGTCGCCATTTTTTATGTCCAAATGTCTTTTGTTGCTCGTGATTTCAAATGATGTTTTTCTTTCTGGGACTCTGGCAGTCTGTCCTGAAGTTGAAGTGATGGCAGCCAGCTGTTTCTCCTCTGATATTATTGAGCGGAGAACCTCTCACACCAGTGGTGTTCTGTTGTGAATGCGTAATGAATGGAGGACCCAAGGAAGTTCAGCATTTTGATGAGACTGACAACCAGATGATCCAGTAGCTGCTTTCGGTTTTTAGACAAATGCAAGAGAACCACTTCATTTTTTTTTCATTTTTGTTTTACCTCCACACTAAAGCCTGATTTATGCTTCTCCGTCTGCGTCAGTGCGGAGACACGCAACGCCATTATCCGTCCTTGCGTAGGGCACGCAAGTACGTACGGAGTCGAGCCCACTTTTTTAAACATCCGTCGAACGAGACGGATTACGCAAGCTTGTGATTGGTCAGGACGCCGCTGTTGTTTACAGCGCCGCCATTGCAAAGAGAGCCGAGGATAACTAGCGGCAGACACGGAGAAGCTTGAAGAATATCTCGCGAAAAAACTCTAAAAATATGAACGTTTAATTCTCCCGTGACTGGAGGAGTGAAAAGATGCGCAGCAAGCGTTTTATTTGTGGACGGAAATGACAGGAAACGTGGGTTTAGAGGTGGGGAGTGCATGAAGAGGTGGGAGAATGAGAGACAAATATGTCTGTGTTAAAAGTCTCTTATATACACAAAAAAACACAATACAAACACACCATCTTGGACCGATACATGACAGGATACCACAGAACAGCGCTACACCCTCTGTGGTCCTGCCGGGCAATTGCTTTGCAACACTCTCCAGGAGACGGAGAAGTAAAAGAGCAAAACGCTTCCGTCAATCCGTGCGTGTCTGTCCCTTGCGGAGCTGACGGAGAAGCATAAACCAGGCTTAAATTTATAGCTATACTATGTTAGAACTTTGCAAATTCAATTCAATTCAAATTCAATTCAAAAAGACTTTATTAATCCCTGAGGGAAATTGATTGCTGTAGTAGCTCAGAATAATAATAATAATCAAGTCATCAAAGAGTTGTTGTATATTACAATGGCTGTTGGCAGGAAGGATCTCCAGTAGCGGTCAGTGTTGCAGCGAAACTGAAGAAGCCTCTGACTGAAGACACTCTTCCGTTGTCGGACAGTCTTGTGAAGAGAATGCTCAGGGTTGTCCATAATTTTTTTATTTTCTGGAGAATCCTTCTTTGCGTTATCTCCTCCAGCGGTTCCACAGTCGTCCCCAGAACAGAACCAGCCTTTTTTATTAGGCTGTTGAGCCTTTTCAGGCCCCTGCTTCTGATGCTGCTACCCCAACAGACGATGGCTGAAGAGATTACACTCTCAACAACAGACTTGTAGAAGATGTGCAGCATCTTGCTACAGACATTGAAGGACCTAAGCATCCTTAAGAAGTGCAGTCTGCTGTGTCCCTTCTTGTAAAAGGCTTAGCTGTTCTTTCTCCAGTCCAGTCTGTTGTCCAGGTGAACTCCAAGGTATTTGTATTCCTCAACCACCTCCACTTCTTCTCCCATGATGTAAACAGTGTTTGACTCCACCCTGTTTCTTCTGAAGTCTAAAATCATCTTCTTTGTTTTGTTCACGTTCAAGGTCAGATGATTGTTTCCACAACATGCCACAAAGCGCTCCACCAGCTCTCTGTACTCAGCTTCCTGTCCATCTCTG